GGACTGTGTGGTGCCAGGCACCTCTAGCAGATATATATATATATTTATATATGTATATAAAAGTGTTAATTAATGTTAAACTCGCTGCTCTATTTGGGCATGCCTAGCAGCTCCCTGCAGAGCTCCTGTCCTGTCCGAGTTTGGCCAGGGCTGCTGGGCCAGTGCCGGCAGCTTCCGGCCCTTCTTGGTCGCTGCCGTCCAGCTCTGCGCCTGTGGGACGGATCTGGGAGTGAATCACTGCATGCAAATGGGATTTAATCATCCGGGATGCAAAGGAGGTGGCGCTGGAGGGGGCGTGGGCTGGGTTTGAATCCTCTAGTGCTGCCTTGGCTACACTAACCCTGTGTTGGTACCGCTGGGACTTGGAGTCTGCTGCAGCCAGGGCTCCTTGCGCATGGGGCTCCCTGGGGGTGCTGATTCTCAGGCACTGGGAGATAATTGTGCATCATAAACATTTTGGTTGGCTTTAGCATTTTGATTTTTAAGGGGGCTGCTTCCAGGCACTTGCTCCAGGTCCCTTTGGGGCTGTGCTGTAGCTGTGGTCTGGTTTGAGCTGTGGGGCAAATGCAGTGCCTGTTGCCTGGATTCTACCTGAGTGAGGCCCGTCCCTGCCCGGGAGGGGGCTGTGGGTGGTCCCGGCCAGGATCCAGGGATATATAAAGGTGTGTTGGGTCCAGGTACATGCAGAGGCTGGTGATGGGGACCACAGGTCACCCTGTGCCAGCAGGGATGGCCAATGGTGGAGGCAGTGGGGAGGGAGCAGCCTGGGACATGGGACAAATCCCGTCTTTGGGAGACAGTGCAGGGGGCCCTCTGTGCATCCCGGCAGAGGGGCTGCAGGGGGCTTGGCCGGGGCAGGGAGGGACAGAGGTGGGGATCCTGCCGTAGCAGTGATGCCGGTGTTGGCAGGAGCAGGTTCCCTGAAGTGCCTGTCCATGCCCAGAGCCCTGCCCCCCCCGACCCCTGACCCAAGCATGCTTTGAACTGGTGGTTACTCTTATTTCAGGCATTTCTTCTCATCTCCTCTGGCCCACCTTCCCCTCAGAGCTTTATGGTCTCCTGGGACCACTGAGCTCTAAAGTTTGCTCTGGGCTGGCAGCGAGGGCCAATGGGCATCTTCCCACCCTGGGGGATCACAGCAGCACCCAAACAGCCTGGGGAGGGTCAGCAGCTGCCACGTCCCTAGGAGGAATTTCCTTCCTCTGTCCCAGGTAGCACTAGGGGTTACAGGCCTGCTCCAGCAGTGCCAGGGTGCATAAACCCTAGGAGCCAGTGGGCACCATTGGCTGTGTGCTGGGATGACCCCAATTCCTGACAAACCCCAGGGAAACTGTGCATCTTTCTGCATAGCTCAGTGTCCCCCATCCTCAAGGATCACGTGCAATGCAGGAGATCCTCTACTCACCTTCTCCCCGCATCCCACAGCGGCCAGTTTGCCATCGTACGAAAATGCCGGGAGAGGAAAACTGGTCTGGAATATGCAGCCAAATTCATCAAGAAGCGTCGGCTGTCGTCCAGCCGTCGGGGCGTGAGCCGGGAGGAGATTGAGAGGGAGGTGGACATCCTGCGGGAGATCCAGCACCCCAACATCATCACGCTGCACGACATCTTCGAGAACAAGACGGACGTGGTGCTGATCCTGGAGCTGGTCTCGGGTGGCGAGCTTTTTGATTTCCTGGCCGAGAAGGAGTCTCTGACGGAGGAGGAGGCCACCCAGTTCCTCAAGCAGATCCTGGACGGGGTGCACTACCTGCACTCCAAGCGCATTGCCCACTTCGACTTGAAGGTGAGGTCTGGGAGGTGCAAACACCCCATGCTCAGCAGCTGGGGAGTGGGAACGAGCAACCAGGCTCCTGTGGAACAGTGAGGCTGAATCTGAGATCTCTTCCTACTCGACACCATGTGTCTTCTCCTTCCACAGCCAGAGAACATCATGCTGCTGGACAAAAACGTGCCAAATCCTCGCATCAAACTCATAGACTTCGGCATTGCCCACAAGATCGAAGCTGGGAATGAATTCAAGAATATATTTGGGACCCCGGAGTTTGTAGGTGAGGCCTGGTGGTGATGTTCCTGGGGGCTTCTCTGGGCACTGAAAGCTTTGATTTAATCCCAGAGAGATGCCCAAAGCCCTGGTGCAGCAGGCTGGGCGGCTGCTGGGATGTGTCCATGGGGACAGGCTTGCTTCCTCCCAGATAAGTCTGTTTTCTCCCGTTTTTCCTCCTAAAGCCCCGGAAATTGTGAACTACGAACCCCTGGGGCTGGAGGCCGACATGTGGTGAGTGAGTCCCCTCCCAAGCACCTTCCAGTGGCACCAGCAGCTGGTCCTTGGGAACAGGGTCATGCTGGCGTATCTCCCCTATTGCTGAAAGCAAGGGTAGAGGGGCCCTGATGGCACTCTGTGGGGCTTCAGCCTCATCTTCCTCTCTTTTCCAGGAGCATCGGGGTCATCACCTATATCCTGTGAGTATAAGGGGTGTCTGGGGAAGGTGGGTGCTGCAGGGCAACTTCTCTGCCTTGGGCTGTTGGTTTTTTGGGGCATCACAGCCTGCTCTTGCCACAGGCTGAGCGGAGCCTCCCCTTTCCTGGGGGAAACGAAGCAGGAGACCTTGACCAACATATCCGCTGTCAACTACGACTTCGACGAGGAGTATTTCAGCAACACCAGCGAGCTGGCCAAGGACTTCATCCGCCGCCTGCTTGTCAAGGACCCCAAGTGAGAGACAGGGAGCAGAGCTGGGGATTACTCTGGGAGAGAGGTTGTCCCTCCTGCCTGACCCTTCCTGCGCACAGGCAGCTCCCACATCTCCTGCCCACGCTGGGATTTGAACTTGGCTGCTGCCAGCCCATCCTTTGCCCATCCCTGTTGTGCTGGTTGTTTATAAATCCCATTTATCCCCCTGTTTCCCTCCTGCTGCTTGTAGGATTTGGTGTTGCAAAACATCTTGAAACCAAAGTCTCTCCCTCACATCAGGCATGGGGTGAATTCTGGGATCACTCCAAGAGTGCAGCAGTGCAACTGCAAAGGAGGGACTGGGGTGTGAAGGGATCAAGGGCTGACCTGAGCACCCAGGACTCTGGGCTGGGGTGGGAGTAGTGGTGCTGTGCCTTGGGCGGCAGGTTCCTGCGGGCTCTTGTGTGTGTCTTTGCTCTGGGAAGGCTGGCTGAGGGCATGGGAGCTGGATGGTGCTAGGATCCGAGCTGCCCCTCGGTCGCAGCTTTTATGTCATTGCAGGAAGCGGATGACCATCGCTCAGAGCCTGGAACACCCATGGATTAAGGTGAGAAGTTCAAGAATCAGCAACTTTTGGGTGCCAGACATCTCAGAGGTCAGGGGTGGGTGTTGATGCTCCAGCAGGTCTCTGCTGCTCTTGCCCCCAGTTGGGGCTGGTTTCGTGCCACTGGGGGCTGTGCTGCCAGGGAACCACAGGTGGGTGCTGAAGCCATCTGGTTCCTGCTGTCCTGGCTGCACCTCACGCCTGTGGCTGTTCCTCTTTGCAGGTGATCAAGAGGAGAAATGTCCGCAATGAAGACAGCTGCAAGAAGCCCGAGCGCCGCCGGCTGAAGACCACACGTCTGAAGGAGTACACCATCAAGTCCCACTCCAGCATGCCGCCAAACAACACGTACATCAACTTTGAGCGCTTCTCCAAGGTGATGGAGGAGGTGGCTGCAGCCGAGGAGAGCCTCCGGGAGCTGGAGAGGAACAAGAAGTCCTTCCAGGAGGACATTGAGGCTCTGCTGTCCATCTATGAGGAGAAGGAGTCATGGTACAAGGAGGAGAACGAGAGCATCAGCCAGGACCTCCGCCAGATCCGGCAGGAGCTGCAGAAGACAGAGGCCCTGAAGAAGCAGGCGCAGGAGGAGACCAAAAGCGTGGTACAAGCAGCCAACGGCCTGAAGAGGCGTTACCGAAAGCTGGAGAACCACTACGAGGCATTGGCCAAGCAGGTGGCTTCAGAGATGAAGTTTGTCCAGGAGCTGGTGTGGTCCATTGAGCGGGAGAAGCTGCAGAGCAGTGAGGGCGACGGCAGCATCCGCTAACTCAGCTGGTGCTGGTGTTGGCTGCCCTCAGCTGAGGTTGGGTCCTTCCTACTTCCCCCGCAGCGCTGAAGGGACCTCGGTGGCTCTGCTCCTCACTCACCCAAGGAGCCAGTCCACCGACAGCCTTTGGTCAATGTCCCCAGGCTCTGCTGGGCTCGTGGTGCCATGCTGGGGACTTGTGCCTCCCTGGAGACCTCCTTCTTGGGGAGCTTGAGTTGTGCTCACCTGGGTTTTGGCTTTCTGTGTGCAGCTCTTGCTTGGCTCACCGTCCACTTCTCCCCATGCTCCTGGCTGCTCCTCCCTTGGGGACCTGCCCTCCCCTCCCTGTCCCTCTTAGGGCTGGGGTCTCAGAGCTGCCGCAGTGCCCTGCCTTGGCGGGGTCTTGGTGGGGAGACCCCTCCTCTAAACCCTGGCAGCAGCTCAGCATCTACCTTGCGTGAGCCGTGACCGAGGACCAATTTCTGTGCGACCCAACACGTGACCCCAGCTGTCACCCACTCCCCCTGGGGCCTTGCACCCCTCTGCCCCCTGCCCCAGCCCTCGATCCCACCGGGCACTTCTCCTTTTAACAAAATAAAGGTTTCTGTGAACCAGGGTGGCCACCTTGGTTCCTGCTGTGGGAGGATGGGTGGTGGTGGGAAGGGGACAAGAACACACTGTGGGGTAACAGCTCCTCTGCTGTGCTCCCTAATGGTATTTGTGCTCCCATCCCAGAGATTTTGTTAATTTGGGAAGAGAAAGGCTTTTTATTTTTGCCTCATTAGCCCCAGTGCTGGCAGGAGAGCTCCCTGTGGGCTTGGAGGGGTTTCTAGAGCCCCTCTTGCCTCACCCCAGGGGAGGTTTGGGGGACTCAGGGAGGATTGGGGATAATCCCAGGAACTGAAGAAGGCCTGTGGGATTTGGGGAGGTCCCTGGGGCTCAGGGAAGGCCCTTGGCTGCAGGGAGGGTCCCAGGGTTTCTGTGGAGTCACTCCTCTTTCCCCAATGATCCTTCTTTTGAATGGGAACAGACTGGGTATGGGATTGGCCCAAATACTTTTGGGGCCCGGAAGGGCTGATGGGCTCTGTCATCACCAGTGAGCACAGGAGAGGAGCTGGTGGCCAGGGCTGGGAGGGGCAGCATGGAGTGGACCCCCTTCCCTGGCCTCCTGAGGCCTCCTGAGGTCCCGAATCCTTTCTGCAGAGCATGCGCGAGAGCCCGGGGCTGGGTTTCCACTGGGAGCACTGAGGGGTTTTCATCTGCCCATGGCCCCGTGGTGCTGGAGCCAAGATCCAGCTGAATTTGACCTGGGGGAATCACCGGCCAAATCCTGGTGGATGGCAGGCATCCCTCTGGCTTGCCAGCACCCACGGTGGGGGAGCAGCAGTGGGTTTTCCTCTGGCTGAGCTCTGGGCTGAGGGGATTTGCTCAATTCAAGCTGCAGTGTCCCCACTGCCAGCTCCCTGGGGGTCTGGGATGGCTGTCAGATGGGCACAGCCTGGGCAGAGGGTACGTGCCCCATGCCCCTATCCGTGCCAGCGGCTGCTGACGTCCCACAGGGTGTAGGTTTCATCCTAACCCAGGGGCATGCGGGTTCGGGGATAATTTTAGCGTGTCCCATTTCTCCAGGCCAAGGCGCTTGGCACCAAGGGGTGATGGTGTGACTGCCTGGCTGGTGGCAGCGTCCCAGGGCAGAGAGGATCTGTGCTGCGACCCCAGGGTGCTGGAGAGGGGCTTTGGCTGTGGTGGGGGATGCCAGAGCTTGGCTGAGGGCATTTCAGGCTGTTGTCCTCCCTCTGTGTGCTGCGTTTTCGGGGCTGGGGTTCAGGAGGAAGCTTTGGGGTTCAGCTGGAGTCCCTGGCATTTGATCTGCTCTCGTGGAGCCAATTCGTCACCAGAGCCAGCGTATGAAAGGATGTATGGAAATCCTATAGCAACAGTTGTTCCCAAGCTGTGCAAAGTTCACATAGTGCTAAGGCTTCCCAGATGCTCCTCGTGCCGTGGGTTTCTGTTTCACACTCCCCAAAGGCTCTTGGAAGTCACTGGCGATTCACCCTGGCTGGTGAGGCTGTCTCCTCCCCAGCCCCCTAGCAGGTACACTGCTCTGCAGGGGGCGGCAGCAGATCTGATCCTGATGGATGCACAGGAAAACACCAAAATACTATTTAAAAAGCAGAATTTGGGGTCAGTTTTGTCACCGCTGTAATCAGGGTGACCTGCTTTAGAGGGTTTTAATTTGCAGAGTACTAGCACAAGGTCAGCAGGCTGCACAATGTACAGCTGCAAAAAAGGGGAAACGCCTACTGCTCACCACGGAGGAGGCTTTGCTGGGGAAAACGCATCCAGGATGTCAATGCCATAGGGACTCCGCTAATACTGAACCTCGTAGGAACTGAGAAACAAGGGGCTGTACTGGTCCCCAGGAGGTTTTTGGCAATGCGATGTATTAGTGTGTTCTACCTTGGTTCCCTGCTTTGCCACTGGAGCAAACATCGCCTTAGCAGGGGATATCAAAGCACCTTTTTTAGGCTTCGATTTTGGCTTCCTGAAGGTTGGCTTGAAGCGAGCACGATGTCTTTTTCCTTACATGGCCTCATGAAAGCAAAATGGGATTGTACAGGTTACCAGGTGAGGGTTAAACCTTCCTGTTAACACAGGGGAAACCCTGATGGAAATGACATGCCAGATCCCGCTGGGGAGCGGAGCCTGCTCATTTTTTTTGCCAGCGAGCAGAGCTGCAGCTCCATGTAACGATGTCAAATGGACTTAGAAGGTATTGGTGACAAGTCGCAGCACGCTGTCCCCGGCCCAGGCGTTCCTCAGCTTTGCTATTGATGAGTGCCGGGCAGTGTAACAGTGTAATTATAGTTCTGTGGCTCTCTCCAGGCATGCATGAGGTTGCACACAAGGAAATATGCCTTTTTATAGCTTGTGGAAGTGTGGGTGATGCCATCAGTGCAAGTGTCTCGTTTCTGGCTGAGGCATACCCATTCTGGCCAGACAATTGGAAAATAGGAGTGTAACATGAGGACACGGTGGAGCTGACTTGCTGCTGGTCTTGCTCCTGGCTGCTTCACCAGGCTGTTTAAAACACTCCAGGAAATAGGCTTGATGGTTTTTTGGGTGACTTCTTGCTAATCTGTGGCAGCTGCTTTTCTGTAGCAGTGTTTCTAATTGATGTATGCCCCAAAATTTTCTGAAGTGAGCTGTGCTGCTGCCACAGCCAAGTTATTTTAGTGCCCAAAAGATCACTGCACTCATCTCACGTGAGAGGTTTTGTACTTTAACATGGTGAGCCCTTGATGCGTGGTGTGCCGCATGTGCTTTAGTGCATCAGTTTAATGGCACTTCCTATCTTTAGCCAGTGTGTTTCAATAGTGGCTTGACAGATCTCAACACCCTCACCACAGTATTTAAGCTCAATGAATTACCAGAGCAGCGTGGATGTTTATTACTAGCCTGGAGCCAGCCACTAGCCAAGGACAACACTGCAGCCAGGTCTTCCTCTTGAGGGCAGAGCTGTGGTGCTGGGGCTCACTGTTCGAGAAGGCTGTGAAGGTCTTTGAGTGCCTCCAGCAGAGGGCAACCAAGCTGGCGAAGGGCTGAGAGGGAGGGCTGTCCTCAGAGGAGTGGCTGAGCGTTCTGGGTTTAGATCATTTGGAGAAAAGGAGGCAACACGGAAAGGGAGGCACTGACTTCTCGCTGGAATCTGTGCAAATGGGCACATGAAAATGGCTCAAAGCTGCATCAGGGAGGTTCAGACTGGACATGAGGAAGCATTTCTTAAAATTAAGATGAGGTTGCTACTCTCATTCCCTTAGAAATCCTGCTCATGTCCAGTCTGAATTTTCACCTCTCAAGGTTCAGCTTGCTGGAGAATTGAGGACCAAATAATGTTCACATTTGTACTGCAGAAAGCAGAAGTGGAGGCTTCTGGCCAAACTTCACACCTGGGGAGCACTTGGTTGTTGTGCGAAACAGCCCATATTATCTTTATGTGCTAATTTGTTTTGAGTGTGGAGTGAGATACACCACAAAGCTGAGGCTGGCATAAAACTGGATTCATACCAGCACTTTAAAAATATCTGCAGTGCTGTTCACCTCCCAGAATCACCTCCAAGAACCTCACTTTTGTTGGGGGTCAGAACTGGGTGTCCAGGCCCATATTAGCCCTAAAACCAAAGCAGGGTTGAGGCTGCTCAGGTGTGACAATCCAAACACCATATGAAAAAGGAGGCACTGGTGGTGTGTTTGGGGGAGTTCTGTGCCTGTTTCTGTTACAGTAATACTGACATATTACAACAGGACCTCAAAGATATTTTAAATAGGTTTTTACTGAATTTAAGAGAGGACATCACAAACAAGCCATTAGAGAAAGCCTTACTATCTGCAGCAGCACATAAGCAGAACAGTCAGTTGTTTTCCCAATGCAGCCTCACTTGTTCCATGATAAAAAAAAAATGCATTTTTCAACTTACGATTAAGCCAGTGGAATATAAGAAAATTAAAAAATAACAACCAACCAAAACAAAACCCACAAAACAATCCTGTCCATCACAGAGTTGTGAATAAGTTATCTTAATTTTTCCATTATATACAAAAGATACTTTCCAGAGGACAGTAGAAGAAGAGTTTACACAAATAAACCTTCATCTCCACTTTTAAGTACTATTTACATCATCCTGTACATGGGTCTTCCAGATCTTCCGAGCCCCTGAAATCAAGAAGGGACAGTGCGACTTCCCAGACGCAAGAGGGGGTTGTCACCAGCAGTCAGTCCCTCACGTTTCACCCCCTCAGAAGCAGGGACATATTTACCTATAAGCAATTTAAAAGCTTGTTGTAAATATCTTCAAAGACTTGATTGTAAAGTTCATCTCTAGACTTCAGTCCGTCTAAATAAACTGAAAGGAAAAGATGAAGGTTTCCGATTAGAACAAAATTTATGCAAATGATTCAAAAAATCTTTCATACTCTATTGACCCAAATGACAACTTGTTTTCCTATTGGACAAACAGAACCATCCTGGAAAAAAATCAAACAAATTATGGCCCACAAAAATACCATTATAAAAAAAAAATGTTGGTTTTCTTATTTCTGCCCCCTGTAAGTACTTATAAGAAGAAACAAAGGGAAGAAGTTTTTAGCTATAAAATGGCATATATTTATCTGGACTGAAAGCAGGCCAGGATTACAACTTAGAAGTAAAAATAGCATCTTGCATCATGACAGCTAAAGTTTCCTACAATTAAATTACTGACTTCCTTAAAATCCAAAGGACAATGCCAAAGGACTTGTATTTAGGGAGGCTTACCGACATCAACACCGCTGTCCTCCATTTCTTTCCTGTGTTTTAAGTACATGGGCCAGACGTGTCCGTCAAACAGCCCCGGTGGGTCAGGAACGGTGTAGTTACGTGTACTGCAAATATCAAAACGGGACAGAACATCAGGATGGCCGGGGTTGCGCTGCCTCTTGTTTGAGGTCAATCTGACAGCTGCTCAGCTGCATTTATGTAAAACCTGATTATCACAGTCCAGTTTCTCATTGATATCAGTCTGTGTTTTGCAACAAGTTTAAGTGTCCAAAGTAAGCACAGGAGCTACAGGCAAAGCCTATGAAGGCAAAGCAAGCATTCTCTGAGGGTTTAATGATGCTCATGGGGGAAGCATGCAATGACTGTTCCTTTTGCACCAGTCTGCTGATTTCCACCAACCCCTCCAAAGGGGGCTGCCGGATCTGAAGTTTCAGAAAATGCCATTCAAAAAAATTAAAATCTTCCTCCAATTAAATTAAATTTTTCAACTGTAATTCCAGCTAGTGACACCAATATATCCAATTAATAGCAACATAAATGTAGCCTGACAGCTTGCCTTTAGTAGAGTCTTTACTGGAAGGAAGGATTAGACTTAGATAAAAAAATATCTTACCTTCTCCTCCTTTTGCATTCATCATACGGAACTGCCAGGTAGTAGCGTACGTCAAACAGGTCTATCAGTGGTCTACCAGAAAGAAAACATATCTATTTATTTTTTTCTGTCAAAGAAACTCCTAAAAGTAATACAGATCTTTCTGTGTCTCTCATATTCATGTCTACTGTAGACAACAGAAGTGGTTTTGTTAAGACAAGCTAATTACAGTAGATTTATTAGTAGCTATTAAACAAAGAATGCTGTGGCAAGTACCTTTCTCACCCAAATACTTGCTGCTAGTTACTGTGGAGGGAAGACCTGGGCTGCAAACCCTGACTGACTCTCTAGATCATTTCAAGTTCTGCTTGCAGTAGATCAAAGCTGCAATTCATCCATCTGATATGAACTGACTTATCAAACTGTCTGGTCTGTTGTGCTGAAGCAAGCTGTCAAAATGTGCACGGACACACAGCTTTGGTACAAGGCAGCTCATGTTCTTTTCCAGAAAGACAGGGAGTGAACCATGGCTTACTGCTTTTCTCTCCTACTAGGCTGAAGAAAATAAATCTCAAAAAATCCTTAAAGAAATCTAGTTTGAAGCTGGTGGGACTGACAGACTCCTAAAAACCTGCTGAGGGTTGCATAAATGCTTAATATAGTACAAACTGAGTAAGCTCCAGGTCTGGGGATGAAATACTCCCTCTGGACTAAGGAAAGGCTCCCATTAACAGGACGGAGCACTTCAGAGGTATTTTTAACCTTCAGGAGAGAATCTGAGAGTTACCTCCCTGGGGACAGGCCAAGAGCAGCCGGCAGTTTGCCAGTGTGATCTCCAGTTGGCCATTCTCGGTAGGGATAGTCCGAGACTGCCATGTTACATTTGCCATTCAGTTTGGAAAGCTGGACTGGTGCTGCACAGCTTATAAACAACTCCATTTTTGCTAAGTGCCATGCACAGCTTGTTCTCTTGAAAGAGTTTTGTAAAAAAAAAACCACCCTACAGTTTGGAGCCAAGAGTCTTTTTGCTTGTCACGTTTATAGCGTGCGATATTCTGAAGTTACATATTTAGCTATTGGAAGCGTTCTCTCTCCTCACTGCTAGTCTACTGTCCCCATCTTTCTGCCAAGCACTTTTCCCCCATATAAAGAAAAAAGCAAAAGTAGTTGGACCTTTGTTCCAATGTACAGTTAATTACTAAAGTCAATTTAGTCAGTGTTAAGCAAGCAGATGTATCGCATGAGATAACTAGAGATCCCAAGCAGTGAACACAGAATGGATTAGCTCCTTGTTCTCAGGTCAAGGTTTCGGCACTGCAGTGGGAGACCAGGAGGACAGCCTGCGCCTTCGCTGCTGGCTCAGCGTTTAAGTTCTTCTGCTCTAAAGCTCCCTGTGAGTTCAAGGGTATGCCCGAAATGGCCCTTCCTATGGTACCTTGAGAAAGACACCTTGTGCACCTCACTTTCACTAGGATTTACTGGTAAATTTTACATGAGAAAAATTCTTACACAATACCTCAGAACAAGGCAGGAAGGGTATATTAGTAAAAAGGAGTTTTTAGCCCTGGCAGGGATCTAGTATTCTTCCCTAGCAAACCATTAATAGTTCCCCAAACCTTACTTGTAATTATAAAGCAGGAAGCCTTCAATGACCAATATATGGGTATCTTTGGAGGCTGGCTCTTTAGAGCCAGGCGTAACATTCACCCCATGGGAACGGGCAAACTTCACTGGGTTCTCAATCCACGCCCGCACAGTGCTCACCATTGCCTCCATATCCAAGGAGTCCAACACTAGTTAGAAGAAAGGGGATGGGTGGGAAAAAGGTACACAATCAAATACCACAAACCACATTGGCTTGGAAGTATAATATAGAATAAACTTTAAAATTGAAACTACAGAAAGTTACTGTTAAATATTTAATAATTAAAAAGAAATACTTAGGAAAATTATACATTACTGCATCCTATAGCAAACACTGCTCTTACCATCCCATTGTTTAAAGCCGTCTTCCCCGACTTCTATTTGATCTTGTGGCTGAAATATAGTGAGCAATAAAACATTGCTGCAAACTCAGCGTGATCAGTTACCTAAGATCCGATCACAACCTGGACACTACTGCAATACACAACAAAGCAAGTGTTCACTTAACAAAACAATTACAGACCCTAAAATTTAACTTCCCGTCTTTCACCAACCCCAAGAACTTGGAAAAGTTTTCCTGGCTTAGTCAAGCCAAGAGTTCTAGGTTAATAATTTGATACAGTGCCATTAGCCAAAATACTACAGGCCCCTGATTATAAGTCAGCATAGAAGAACTCAAAATGCAAATACAGTAACTGCTAAGAAGTACATGATCAAGAATAGCTATTTTAGCTCCTAACAGCTCTGATAAAAATGCAGGACAGTATAGCAGGACTTGTAGTCATTTAGTTAGAGCTTTACCTGTGCTAGAATTTGCAAGATAAACACACTAGAGATAAGCTATAGATCTTTATAGACAATTCCTCCTCTACTTCAAGGTCTATTTCTGACCAAATGTGTGCATTAATCTTCTGGCAAAGCAGTGTTTCCAAGCGAGTGTCTCACTGTTGCATACGGCATGGGCTGCTGCACAGGCAGAACCAACCAACCACGCAGCTGTCAATGGCGGCACCTCGCATGTTGAAGGATGCTATACAGCTACTGCAAGCGTGCTGCTGTGTCTCTTGGACTTCCACATACAGTGGGGCCCAGCTATACAGTAATTCCTGTGAAATGGCTACAGCTGCAGGGTTCAGTAATGGGCCGGGCTGTGAGCATTTCCATGCTGTGCTCACAGGCTTAGTGCAGAGGGCACCCGCATCAGCTCAGGGTTGCATTCATCTTAAGCAGCCTCTGAGTTGGGTTTCTGATATGGAGCTGTCAAAGCCCCCAGTACAAGCATCTGTCTGCATTTACAGCAGCTTATAGGGGCTTAAATTCTTAAGTGTTATTTAGAAGAAACATTCTTGCTTTAATAAGGTGGAAAACCCAAAATGGAAAATATTGTTTGCACAGAGTAGAGTAAATAAACCCTAACTTGGATCAGCAGTTTGATCTCAAGTGAGACTTGTGGTGAAAGCTAAAGGAAGATTTTGCTGAACCTGTTCCGTGCTCAGCTGCACAAAAATCGGTGTCTGCTCACCTGTCCAAAGTTACTTAAAAATTAGATATTTTACAAAAATAAACAAATCAGAAAATGTGTTACTCCTAAGCTGTCAAAACCTACATGGAAAGCATGCACAAGTACACAAAGCTCACAGGAGGCCCGCATACCTTGAAGAAGTCGTCCTGGTGGACCACGCAGCAGTTGGGGAGCGCCTTGGCGATCAGGGTGGCTTTTGCCACCGTTGGTGACACCGCAGGGAGGCGAGACAGAGATGGGAAAACCGCGTTAGAGCCGCCGAGGCCCTCGCCCGCCCACCTTGAGGGAGCAAAGCCCTTTGCCTTTCCCGCCTCGGCGGCTC